GATCAACATCCGCATCATCGACTTTGCCCACTGCACGACGGGCACCGACTACGACTACGGCGACGAGGGCGCGGCCAGCGGCGACGCCGATGCCGACGCCGACGCCGGTACCGCCGGCTTGCCACGGGTGCGGTTCCCGCCCAAGCTGCGCGACGGGCCCGACAGCGGCTACCTGTACGGGCTCAAGAACCTTGCGGCGAGCTTTGAGGAGATCTGGGAGCTGGAGCGGGAGCGCCGCAAGGAGGCGCGCGCCAGCGTGGCCCAAGCGCGCGGGCTGACGTCGAGCCGAGCGGCCGACGACATCCACAAGGACGCCGACGGCTCCTGGATCGTCGACATGGGCCCGCTGGCCGTCGAGGGGGGCGAGGTGTTTGACGAGATCTTTGGCAACGGACCCGGCGGACTGGACGGATATGTGTCTACGTAGCGCTGGCCGGTGGAATGCAAGCGCATCCACCCTCGAGAGAGAGAGCTCGGTCGTCGTGTAGGGCCCTCGGATCGAAGGCCGTGCTAGAACTCTTCGAACCTGAGCGCTTCAAAGGTGGCCTGTGTGCCCTCGTCGTTCTTGGGACCGCAAGTCATGACGCCGACGTACCACTCGTCCGTCTGCCTGCGGGATCCGTCGGGGAGGACGTTGAAGGCGGGGATCTCGCGCAGCTGGACGAGGTCCTTGTCGTCTGGAAGCCACGAGGGGTCGGTGCGGTGTCTGTCCTCGTCGTCGGCGACGGCGGGAGGAGAGAGGTAGTACTTGATGACGATGGTGTCTCCAATTTCGGTCGTGTTGCGCGTGAGCTGGATGAAGACGGCCTGAGTTGGCGTGATGGGCGAGGGAGAGGGGGAGGGGGATGTGGAAAAGTCGCTCCAGGGCGCCGAGGTGACGCAGCTGCGGGTGCGTGCGTCGTGGCGAGGGGGTGCGAGCCAGTGGTGGCGGTGGTGGTGATTCTACGTCAGTCATTCTCCTCTCTTCCCTCTCCGTCCGTCGTCATTGCAGGGGAAGCGAACGGCAGCGCGGAGGCGAGAGAAAGCCCGCCGGATGCGGGGGCGGGGTTCGGTACGTACGCCAGGAAAGTGGCACCATGTTCCATCTCGACCCCGGCCTTGATCCAATGGGCATCCTGCTCTGCCGGCCTGCCCGCAAAGAGGAGTACACCGGCCTGGTCGTACTGCACGGTGTAGTCGGACGTGATCCAGGCGCTGAACCTCCACCGCGGCGAGGTGGCGGAGATACGACGGCAGTAGAACGGCCCTTCCGCCCGCTCCACCCGTGTTGGCGGAGGGGTACGCCACCAGTCCTGCCGAGGGTGCGACCGTATCGTTATCCCACCGGTCGACGTGGTGTGGCTCGATAGGGGTGGGGATGGGAAGTGGAAGGCGTATGACATCGTGTGGCGCTCGGTCGAGGTGGATGGTTGGCAGAGATGTGGGAGGAGGGAGGCTCGAGGCTTGGCTGGTTAGACCTGGCCGACCGCGCGTTCACTTTGGCTTGGACCCTGCCAGGCTAGGCTGGCCTGCCAGGCCATGCGGGGAAGCGCATCTCGGGCGCACGGGCCCGTTCAGACTGGGGATGCCATGATTGCCTCCTCGGATCCGTCGAGCACATCTTGCCCGACCTCGGACCGGCCGCGGGCGGGTAGGCTCTGGTGTGCAACATGCTGGCGTTCAAGTCTGACACCCGTGTTGCGCCTGGAAGCGTCGCAGCCACGGGCGTGTCTAGAGGGATAGAAAGAGGATACAACAACAACGGCGACACTCAGCACAGCAGCAGCACCGCAGCAGCACCGCAGCAGCACCGCAGCAGCACCGCAGCAGCATCCACAGCAGCATCCACAGCAGCATCGACAGCAAGGGCAGACACCGGCAAAGCGCCAGACGGCCATCACCTCGCTCGCCGTCAAGCGCGTCCGCTGGTCGAGTGCCTTCCACCGGACCCGACGCTGCGGCTGCTCTTGCTGCCGCGCGCATACCTGGCGCTCTGCAGGGGCGGGCCCATCAGCGGCGACGGCCCACCGGCGAACCACGCTCCCGTGTAGCTTCCGCCGCCGAGCCACGCCGGGTTCTCCTCGGGCGTCTTGGGCGAGCGCGGGCTCTTGTTGGTCTTGAGGCTCGCCGCTGTCCTCGGGCTGGCGGTGCTGGTGCCCGATCGGATGCTCGAGGTGCGCGACGTCAGGCCCTCGGAGCGCCCCGCCGACGACTCGGTCTGCAGCGTCGAGCCGTTCGACGTCGTGTACTCGGACTCGGAGTCGTCGAACATCGGCGCCTGCGAGGGCCCGTCGCTGCCCTTTGGACCAAACACGGCCTCGGCCGCCAGCCGCTTGAACTCGGCGCGCTCGGCCTTCTTGCGCGCCTTTTGTTCCCTCTCGATGCGCTTCTTCTCCTCCTTTTCGAGCTTCTTGAGCTCCTTGATGCTCAGGTGCGGGTAGCGCGTGGCCAGCGTGGCCACCGTGATCTCGGCCGGGTGCTCGGCCGGCGATGGCCCGGCGTAGTCGCCGCTCGACGACGACGCCTGGTGGGGTCGGCTTGCAGCGTCCGACATCGACCCTTGGCTGAGGCTGTGCTGCGAGTCCGAGGCAGCCGAGGAGATCGACGTGCCCGTCTGGGCCCGCGAGAAGTCGGTCGAGGTGGGCGAGGACCCGTTGTGGTAGGCGCCGTTTCGGAAACCGGGGAACGAAGGTGCCGACGAGTCCGTGTCGAGGCTCGGCGACGACGCCGAGTAGGGGCTGCTGCTGCCGCGCTTGAGACTGCCGCTGCGGCTCAGGCTCATCTTGAAGCGGCTGCCGAACCTGGAGCGGTCCGTCGCCGGCGGCGCAAGGCCAAACGAGTCGAGCAGATCATCTTCGGCCATCGAGTAGCGGTCGTAGCCGACGCCGGGAACCGGATGCCGCGCGCGCGGAACCGCTTCCGCAGGCGAAGCGGGTGCCGGGCCGTCCTCGGCAGGTGCCGACATGCCGGTCTCCTGATGCGTGATGCCCAGGCCGGTCGACGGCAGAGGCCTCAGCCTGGTCGGGTCGGCAGGGCCGAGTCGGGACGGGTCAGCGTCGTCCCTGGGAGACGGTCCACGCAATGCAGGGCCAGGTTGCCCCGCCGCGACCGAAGGGCTGTCCGAGATCGCTGGGCTGTCCTGGTGAACCGGGGTGGCCGACGTCGAGGCCTGCGGGTAGCCGCCGCGCTGGCTGTGGTTGTAGCTGCTGCTCGAGTCGTTGCCGCCGCCAGCGCCAGAGAAGCCGGAAGCCGAGCCCGGCATCGACGAGGATCGGCTGCTGGACCCTGCGCCGTCGTTGTGCCCGCTGTACCGGTCGTTGCTGCCGAGGCCGCTGGAGCCGGGGCCCGCTCCGCCGCCGCCGCTGCTTCCGTGTTTCTGCAGCCAGCGCGCGACCGACATGACGACACGCAGCGCTCGCACCTGCAGGCCCTCGCAGCCGCAGAGCGAGGCAGCCTCGTACAGGCAGACGGCAAGGCGATGCCGCTCCTCGGGGTGAAGGCCCAGCGAGTCCGATGGCCGGAAGAGCTCCAGACCGCCCGACTCGGGCGCCGCCGCAGAGGACGCGCCGGCGGTGCTCGGCGACTTGGGGTTGAGGTCGTCGGCGAGCGCGACGTGGGCGGCATGCTTGGCCCAGGTCAGCAGGTCGTCCATGCGATACGTCTTTGACAGGACGAGGAGCGCGCAGACCACCGCCGGGTGCCTCTGCAGCGCGGTGCAGATCTGCTCGGTGTAGATGAACTGGAGGAAGGCCATGACGATCGCAGAGGGCTCGGACAGCTGCAGGTGTCGCGGCTGGAAGCGCGGGTCGCGGGCTCGCCTGGGACCCGCGGCGCCGCCCTCGAGCGCCTCGCGAGCTGCAGCGACGCCGTCGACGTCGGCCTGCTCCTCGGTGGAGTCGTCCTCGGCGAGGATGTCGGAAAGCTCCTCGGGGATCAGGCCAAGACCGTTCGACTCCTGCTGGCCTGCTCCGTTGACGACGACGCGCGCCGTCCTCCGGGCGCGCCTGCGGAAGTCGTCCATCTTCGACTGGAACCAGGGCCAGCGCTTCTCGAGGATCGCCCGATCGCAGCCGATGCGGATGCCGTCCGAGCATACGATCTCAAAGTCGCCGCGACCGCCGAACGAGTCCGAAAGCCAGGGCAGAGCCGACTTCTCGTCCTCGCCGGCGTCGTTCTGCTCCAGGCTGAGCCCCTTGAAGCCGGCGTTGAGCGTCATCGACGACGCCGAGCTGGCCGCAAGCTTGCGAAGGCCGAGCTCGACGGCGTCCCGCGACAGGCGGGGCACGGGAGGCTGGTAGATGCCCCAGGCCTCGAGCTCGAGCACGACGACGTGGTTCCAATTGGTCTGGCGGTGGTTGTAGTCGCTGACCAGGTCGCGCTCCTTGTGGCCGACGACAATCATGCGGTTCTTGCCGGGCCACAGGATGGCCCGGTTCCAGCTGCCCGTCGAAAGGTGCGAGCCGGCCTCGATCCGGGACCACGTCATCGTCGGCAGGTGCAGCGCCCACAGCGAAAAGGTCTGCGTCGCGTTGGCGAGGTAGGTGCCCGAGATGATGAGGAACGAGCCGAGGATCGCCCCGGTAGGGAAGCGCAGCCCCGGCGGCAGCGTGCTGCCGGTCATGCGCGAGGAGTTCTCCTCGATCGCGACCAGGTCGCCGGAAGCGTCGTTCGGCCCACCCTCTGGCCGCGAAGGCGAGATGGGCATCTCGACGTCGATGGCCGACTCCTCGGAGGCGACCGACCCTCGTCGCGTGGGTTGCCGTTCCATGGCCGAGAGGACGTCGGGCTGCAGCCGCAGGACCTCGAGCTCGCGCCGCACGTCGGTGAAGTTGTAATTGGAGTAGACGTAGATGGGCTGGGGGTCCTTGGCCGTCGGGATCGAGCTTACGGGCAGAGGGTTGATATCGACCTTGGGCAGGGGCGAGGAGGTCGATTCACCGTGCGAGCCGTTTGCCGCCGCCGAATCCTCGACCCCGGAATCCTCGCCGTCCTCTGCAGAGCCTCGGACCAGCGGGTCCCGACTGCGAGGGTAGCACTTGGCCTTTTCGCCCTCGTGCGAGTTGTACCGCGCCGCCACGGCCAGCGACCTGTAGCTGCCGCACTGCCGCTGGAAACGCTGCGCGCTGATCCAGCGCCTCTGCGTCAGGCTGAAGACGTTGATCGACTCGACGTACTGGTTTGTCATGTTCTGCCCGCCGACGATGATCAGGCTGTCGTCCGAGATCGACGAGAGGTGGGCGTAGCGCGGTGCGGGCTTGGCCTGCAGGTGCGACGCCGAGGGCTCCGCGTAGTCGAGGGCCGAGGGCGAAAAGGACAGGTCCCAGGTCTGGGACGCCAGGTCGAACGCCAGGACCTCGTCGAGCACGCACAGGTCATCGTTCTTGACCTCCTGCGGGCTCCTCGAGGCGTCCGGTGCGGTCGAGTAGCCCATGCCGCCAAAGATGATGATCTTGTTGTTCCACAGATCCGCCGAGTGGAAGTAGCGCGGCTGGGGTTCGCTGGCCGCGGCCGCAGAGTCGACCGAGGCCGAGGCCGACGACGACGACTCGGCCGCCGAGCTCGGGCTGATGCGCGTCCAGACCATCCTTTCGAGGTCGAGGCAGTAGAGGTGGTTGATCATCCTCCGGTTGCTGACCAGGCGGCCTCCGAAGAGGTACATCCGCGGCGTACGGTCCTCGACATCAGACGACGGTTCGACCAGCGTCGCCGATGCGCCCTGAGAGGAGGCGCGACGATCGAGTGCGAAGTGGGTTGCGACGAGAAGCGAGTCAGCGATGGTCGGGGGCCAACCTCGCCGCCTAGCTCGTCGGATGCGGCCCGACCGACGACGCTTCGGAACAGCCGATACTCACCACTAATGGTGGCGGGATCTCGCCGGAGCACAGATGCAGCCGCGAAGAGAGGTTGATGATGGAGGGATGCATGGCGGCAACTGTCGTCGGGACAAGCCGCCGAGGTGAAACGTGACAAGGAGGGTCGCTGGTCGGTCGACGCCGCTGCTCGCTGGCGGACAAAAAGGACCCGAGGTGCGAGGTGCGAGTGCTGCGAAGGGCGTCGATGCGAGCGCTACGCTCGGCTTAGGCGACTGCAGAGGTTGACGGCTGATGATAACGGCTTGGGCTGGCAAGATAAAGCGACGGCGGATGGCCAAGGCGATTCCGCTCGGTCTTTCGGTCGTGGGCCGGCCTGATCGGCTCAGAGGAGGCGTGGATCACGTCGTCCGAGGTGCAGACTGTCAAGAGGCGGCGGCGGCGGCGGACTATGCTGCTGGGAGAATCGAGGACGCTGTCACTGCTCGGTATATCGCCGCGGGTCGTCGGGTTTCCGAGGTTGCGGGTCGAAGGCGTCCGGGCGCTGGGTATGAGGATACGTCGAGGCGGGTCGTGGGCGAGGTTGCGTTGCTCAAGGGTGGTCGTCGGGAGTCGAGAAGGTGCGAGGGAGGCTGACAAGGTTGGTCTAGGGTCGGCGACGAGGGACAGAAGCGGCGAGGTCGGAAGGTAGGTGATGGGCAGGAGGAAGGTAGGTATCAGGCGCGGAGGGTCGCTGGCCGGGAAGCTCGCGGAGGGGGGAAAGGAGCGCGGCCAGACCGAGGAGATGCCTAAGTAGCCACGGAGGCCCGTATTCGGCAAGGCAACGTGCACTTTGCCGCCAAGAGAGGTTGCAGAGCGGATGGCCACGGAGCGCAGGCCAGGCGAGGGGCTTGCTGGGGTCCTGGCGGGACGTCGTCTGGCTGGGGACTCTGTCCTGTCCTGTCCTGATGAGATAGGGTGCGATCCGGGCGGATGAGGCGGCAGCGTGGGGCCGAAGGCAACGGCGACAGCGACAGAGGTCGAGGCGGGTCGAGGACGTCTGGTAGCGGGACGAGGGTCGGTCGGTCGGGAGGAAGGGCAGCCGACGAAGCTCTGCAGCAGATTCCCAGAAGGAAAGACGGACGGCCAGGCTGGGCTGGCGTCGGCGGCGGCAGACCAGCGGAAGCGCAGAGGAAGCCCAAACCCGTCCGTACGCACGCTACGCTCTGCTGCTCGCCATTTTTACCGAGGTCACGCACGGTGCGGTGCGGTGCGGTGCGGTGGGCCGCTGCCCTGCCTGTCTTGTCCGCCGCCTGGGCTGGCCCAGAGGGGCTGGGGGCTGCCACGACGAGCGGAGCCAGCCAGCCTACCGGCAGCATCCAGCGCCCAGATGTACGCGCCCCCCAACCTGCCTATTCGAGCACCGCTCCAGTTCAGTCGAGGCTGGCCACCCATCCTCGCACCAACAAAGGACACGCAGGCAGGCGTCGGTGCAGAGCACAAGCAAGAGGCTAGGCTAGGCAAGCAAGGTCACGGAAGAAACCGAGCCAAGGGTCCAGGAAAACGCGAGAGGGGGGGAGCGCAGCAGCTCGACGGATCGATGTCGGCAGACGACCTGCCTGCTTGAAATCCTCCCGGCCGTCTGTTCCCGGGCGCTCGACTCCTAACCCTAGCCTGTGTGACGGCTGGCGTCGTCACATCGTGCGCCTTTCCTGCGTACCGGCCATCGACCGGCCCCTTTTGCTCGCTCGCCGTGGTCGTCGGAGGAGCAGCCGACCGAGCGGGTGGGAAGACGTACAGGTGTAGTTGCACAACTCTGCTGCGTGCTTGCCGGCTCTCCCGGCCTGCTGTGCAAGCGACTTAGCGAGAAGATGTCTTAATCTCGGCCCTGCCTGTCACCTGCCAGATCGACTTCTCTCGGAGCATTGCCAGTCGCGACTCCCTGCTGCCGGCCGCCCGCTCGAGGCGTTCGAGGCAATCTCGATACCGACGACGATGGTTTAAGTGCCGGTCTCAATGGCAACCGAGAATCGCATCGTACCTGCTCGACGGCCAGCCGCGCGTCAGCAGGGAGTAATTGGTCGTCCTTCTTCGAAACGCTGAGCTGGGCGGCACCCTCGAATTGCGGCGCCCGTCGACGGCGCCGCCTCTTTGGATCCCTCGATGCCGTGGCGCTCCCAATGGCGGGCCGGGTTCCGGCTAAGCTTCTGATCCGCTCCAGCTCCGCCAGCCGCCCATGGGACAGCGCGCAGCAGGAACACCAGGGCGAGGCAAGGCATGAGCATGCAGCGGAGTATGAGTTCTTACATACAGTGCGCAGAGCGGAAGAGTCTTCTCGACGCCCGCCCGTGGCTTGGGGGCGTCGGGCGGGGTTGCAAACAAGCTAGGCGTTTTGGGGGTCGTCGGCATGGGGGGGGAGTCGCCAGGGTGGCGCGCATCAGCATGGTGGCAGGCCATTCACCGCCGAATGTGACACTCTGGCTGGCTGGCCTTACGTACGTACATACACAGCCCCCCCAGCAAAGGGTTTGATTGTTTGCGCGTTACACAGCCAAGGCCCCGACAGGTCGCTGCCATGATGGCCGCAGAGCAGGATCCATACACAGCAGGCCAGCCAAGAAGGTCGGCGCCTCGTTCGCGCCCTCGAAACATACATGTGCGGGCTTGGTTTGCGGCGCACACGGAACGCCGCAATGATCGCGGCTCGTCCTACCTTACATCGGGACGTGACACAAGCAGACGACCGTGAAAACACGAGGCGGGCGGGCTCGCAGGCCATCTCACGACGTCGATGGTGAGACAATTCGACGGCACTAAGTACGTATGAACTATTTGTCTGCTGGAAGCTGAGAGACATGGTCCGGTCCCTGCCTACACTGTATCCACTCCGAGACCAGACAGGCGGTGCGCAGAACCGGGGCCGAAGTCGGGCAGGGCTGCATCCGATACGAGCCTAGGTGTTTCGCACCTTGCCTGCCACGCCAGGCCAGGCCAGGCCGAAACCGCTACATATCGCATCCACCATCTTCCTTCACTCCCGCTGTACGCGCTCCGTTCCAACTTTCCTTCAATCAGGAGTCTAGTCTGTACGCCGTCGGTGCGTCTCCTTCCTGCGCTGCGTTCGAAAAGAGGGGATACGAAGGCTACGTAGAGTCATGCCGGGGCGCACTCGGAGGCCTCGGGAAGGATCATGGCACGAGTGGCCCCACCCAAGCCGACACCGCTGGCGCCGCTGCTGATCGACCAGATGAGATGCGAACGATGAGATGCGATAAGGCCAGGCCTGCCGGTCGACGGAAGGACGGCTGCCAGGCGAGATGTCCGAGAGAGCGCGGGCACAGATGAGAGAGTTCGACTTGCTGCGGCCTGAAATCGGTTGGCCTCGTACCGAGCCACGATAAGCGAAGCACCGGCTTTCTGTGCGTGCACGCTGCTGCTACTCTTGCTTGCTTGCTGTTGCCTTCTTTTTCTGCTTGGTTGGTCGGTGAGATGTCCTGCTTGCCTGTCGCCAGCTGCGACCCGCCTGCCGCCTGCCATGTGCAGCTGCACGGACAACTCTGCTGGCGGCGGGGGCGGGGTTGTGGGGCATTGCGCGCGGCCACAAGCAGCTACGCTCAGCCAAGCTCCTCGAGCTCGACGACGATGCTCTTTGTACGCTCCGGGGCGTGTCCGCAAGGATCCGGACGCAGCCTCTTCAGTCCCCATGAGTGTCAACCTCTCCGCACTTTGACGCCAGCTGAGGCGCCACCGGCTCTCCTTGTCCGTGTGTTTCGCGCGCGAGTGCGTTGGAAGCCGCAGCCCATCTTTCCGAACGAACATCGCCCGCACGCGAGCTTGACCCTGTATGATGTCCATTGTTCCCGTCACGGGCGACGGAAGCTGGCCGTCGATGCTCCGTCGGCGATCCTGTGCCGGTTCACCGATGGTCGTGCGAGCGCTATGCGCTCCGCTGGATCTTCAGGTGGCTGGTCGCCCTTGGCAGAGCCTGGGGTCGACGACCGTCCCTGCGACTGCCGCGCGTTGCCTGGCAATAGTGGCCGGTACCGTTGTGGCTGAGCGTCGCCGTCTACGGACCCACTCCCGGTCGTCTCGCAGAGCGGGCAACGAGCGACGAGCCAAGGTCGTCGACAAGGCTCGTGCTGTTGCGACGTGCGACACGACCCGAGAGCTCGGAGCAGCGACACGCGCTGTGATAGCTGCGCGTGCTCGTTCGAGGCCGAGGCCGAGCGCAGTTGCTTTTGCTTCCCTCGACGACGATGCAGGCACCAGTGAGAAACTGTGGCGACACATGTACTGTATACGTACAGCGCACGCCGCCGCCGCAGCGCGCAGTGCGAGCATGAGAGGCCCAAGCCGTGCTGGGCGCAGCAAATGGACACCGATCTGTTGTTGCCCTGATGTAGGAACCGCCGGTGTCGACTTGCAGGCAGGCGACGCGGGACGGCGGGAATGAGGGGCGGCGACGTGCCCCTATGTATCCAGACGTAGGAACGGCGGCGTCATTCGCACGCCCGCTGCCATGAGGGCATAATCTTCGTATTATTCTTTATTGCTGAGCTGTTGCGTCCCCGCCCTTTGCTAGCAGCACGACCAGTCCGGGGAACATAGGTCGAGAGAACTTCGGAGGCCATCGGCCCTCTGGCGGCTGTCGAAAAGCTGACAAGCAAGTCAACCAAGCCCGGACCCCGACGTCGCACCTTCCGCCGCTGCCCGGCGTCGCGCTACCGAGATACGACGTCGCTGATTTGTACACAGGCGCCGGCCGTGAGAACAGATCAGAAGGGCAGGCTAGGCCGTGCGCGGCGCGAAGCGATGCAAGCAAGAGCGAACTTGCCGAACTTGCCTGCCACAGCCATCCCCGTCGGCGACCCGGTCCGGGTCCGGCACTCTCTGAAAGGCGTGGCTCTGACACCTCTTGCATCGGGAGCGAGGCACCTCCGGTCGGACTGACGGCGCTCGCGCATCGGTCAGCCTCGGCCCGCGCGACGATGCCAGGCGGGCCTCGAACGGGCACCGCCACTCCTCCTCATCGCTTCTGGCAGAGCGACATACGGCGCCTGGGATGGCCGACGCCAAGACATCAATCGACACCCTCGCAGCCTCGACCTTTGCTTTTTTCATTTGGCGGGAATCTTCGCTCGGCTCGAGAAACACCTTTCCCATGTCGCTCATAGGCGAAGTAAGTAGTGACCTGGCAGCGACGCTTCGGGCACGTCAGCGGCTCGGCTGGGGGGACGCGTCCTGGCCAGATTCTAAGATTCTCAACACGATGTTCAGCTCGCTACATATCGTATGCTTGTTTGCTTCCACAGATGCCAGTGTGTGGTAGCATGGCATTTGCATGATCTGTGGCTGGCCGACGAGAGGTGTCGCGCCACTCGCAGGTGGTGGTGTCGCCGAGCAGGTGCCCCGCGAGCAGGCAGGCAAGGCCAGGCGATGTGGAGGGCTGCAGCCCGGATTTTTCGGGGCACCGCGACGCGTCTCGCTGTTTTTTTTGTGTATATTTTTAATATTCATTCCCCCTAACATCAGTGGGTCCAATCGTATAGTGGCTTATTATGCTGTCTTAGGGCTCAAACACGGAATAGAACCGTGAGCTGGATGACAGAGGTCCCCGGTTCGATTCCGGGTTGGACCCATTCTTTTTTCTTGTTGTCGAGGGCGAGGTCTATAAGGGGGGAAGTTTTTTTTTTTTTCCTTTTCTTTTTCTGGTGCGAGCGACGCGTCTTGGGCGGGCACGTCGTCGACTCTGGTGCCAAGACGGGCGACGGCGCCTGAAGCTGATGGCCACGCACGATCGGACCAGGTCGAGCCGAGGGGGGGGGTGGAACGTGGCGGGACGGGCAGCCGAGTTGCGAGGCAGGCTGGGGAAGAGGAGCAACCGCACGAGCGCGCGCAGTGCTGCAGGCCCTGCACGCGGAGGATCGTCGGAGGCAGAGCGTGGGAAGACGCAGGCAGGTGACTGGGGCCATGTGTCTGCCGGTCGGTCGTGGGTCGACAACGTGTCGATGCAAGCCCCCCTCTATCTCGCACGTCGTCCTCGCCCCGCCTCGCCTCGTCGGCCCACGCACGCACGCACTCGAAGCGCAAGTGCTGTAGTACTTACTCCGATCCCAAAGGGAGCAATCGCCGCGCTTGCGAGACATGGATGCCGGTACGCCGGCGTCAGCGGCCGCGGTCCAGGCCCCTCCGCCGCCTGGCAAACAGACCGGCGACGGGCGGATGTCGTCCCTGCCGTGGATTAAGATTGCCATTCAAGATAAGATTGCCGGGCCAGTCTCGACCGCCAGCGCTTCTCGCTCCACCTCGCCCGGCTTCGTCAGGCAGCGCGAGCGGTCGCGGTCTCAACAAGAAAAAAAAGAAAAGAAACAGTAACGCTCCGCAAAAGGGAAAGCGGCGACCGAGGATCGAACTCGGGACCTCAGGATCGTAGATGCAGATGCTGCTATGCGGTTGCAATCCTACGCCAAACCACTAAGCCTCCGCCGCTCTTGGCCATTTGCCAATTTGTTGCAAGGGCGGCCGAGATAGCACACTACCAAGGCTAGATGGTCCTGGAGACGCCCCGCGGCCACGCCTCCACTTTTTCACCTCTTGATGGCACCCCCCTTGCCCTGTCTGCTCCCGCCACGACCACCGCCGCAGGGAACCGCAACCATGTCGTCGACGACGGACCACCAGCCGCCGGGGAGCACGGCAAGGTTCGAGGATGCCACTCGGGATCTCCTGGAGGCCTGCTCTCGTGAGTCTCAGTCTCTCTTCTGCTGGCCGCGCGCCACGCCCGTTGCCCTTGGAGCGCCCGCTGCTGACGATGAGCTGCGATGGCGCCCCCGTCCTCGCCCTCTCCCCCTTCTGACCGCTGCAATAGGCCTCCGGCTGGGCCAGATGGTCACCGTGCCCGGCTTCACGCTCATGGACTCGATGAGCGCGATACAGGCAAGTGGGGGGCCCCCATCGGCTGCGACGGCTTTAGCAGCACCTCGCTGACCGGCTCGCTCCCAAACTGACCCTTGACCCCCCGAACCGCAGATCATGGACGCGCGCATGGACTCGGGCATGGAGCTGCCGGACGACGAGCTGCCAGAGACGGACAGGATCCCGGCGTCGCTCGGCCAGCTCGAGTACGACCCGTTGCAGCCGCTCGACGGCCCAGACGTCGTCTGGATCATGGACCGCCTGCTGGCCTGCGAGGCCGCCTGGCACCTCGGGCGCGCCCTGTCCCAGACCATCTACACCTGCCTCTACTTTCATGATCTCCAGCGTATGTCGGTTCAGGATGCCGCATACCACGCTCAAGCCTCGACGTCGACGCCGGCGCCGGCGCCCGAGCTCAGGTCCAAGGTGCTCCGGGCCTTTATCGTCGCCACCGTCAAGACGTGCGACCTCGCCTGGAACGAGCTCACCAAGCAGAACGTCTACGATGTACGTCGTCCCGACCCGGCCGTCTGCGCTCGCAGCGAGGCTGACACGTGCTGCCCGACCCTGCACGGTCGACCCCTCTGCGACGGCTCCACCACGCCCAGGGCGAGGACTTTTCCGGCGACAAGTCTGGCCTCGGCTTGCTCGAGGGCACGGAACCGCGGTACGCCCTGGCGCTGCTCGACGACGCCCTCGAGTGGCTATCAGCGGGTGAGGCGACGAAGGCGACGGTAACTGCGAACCCGACATGCCATGCCTCTCGACGACCTTGCTGACCTCCTCCTTCGGGCGTCCCCCTGACACGCCGTCGCAGACCCGACCCTCAGCGACGATATCGGGCAGTCCCTGAAGGCCAGGCTGTCCCTGAGAAAGGTACGCCGGCGCTCGAGCTGCCGTTGATCCCCTTCTTTCGCACCGGCTGACGAGGCCGACGTCTTCCCCCCCCCGACGCCGCACAGCAACTCCTCTCGGCCACGATGCTGCTTGCAGAAGGCGACCCGGCAGCACTGATCGAGGTGTCGTTGCACTGCCGCTTTGCGAAGAAGCACCTCGCCGCGTTGAGGCCTCATGACGACGACGCGACCGCGGTAGCTGGCCAGGCCGACACCGCTGCATCACCGCCGTGCATCGCCTTGCAAGATCCTGGCCGGCAAAAGGCGCCGTCGACCAGGTCGATGGCGTCGTTCGACCCGGCCTACAATCGCAAGCTCGTCGCAAACGCGCCGCTGCGTCCCATCGCGCTGCCGTCCGCTCGCGAGACCTGGACCTTTCTCGAGGGCCTCCTCGACGGGCTGCAGGAGGTGGTCCAGCTGTTGCAGAGGCCAGACGCGCTGGGCTGGAAGGTAAGTCTGACCGCCCGCTCGGCCGACGGCCTGCCTTGACTGACCTTGACTGCCGTCGCCCTACCATTTGCCCCTGACCCGGCAGATGTTCTTCAGCTGCCATGCCTACAGCTTCCAGGCAAGGCAGACCAGCCCGTACATCCGCTCCCTCTATCAGGTACGACACGGCTGCCCGACGCAGGCCCAGTCTCGGAAGCCACCCTGACGCCTCTTCCCCCGTCATCTCGTTCGCCTGACAGTCTGCAGTCTGCGACCGGAACATGGTGGCCGGACGGCTGCCGCTCGACTGGCTCACGCAAAACTTCTTCGCCGAGACGGCCCAAGTCGACCCGCTCCTGCTGCGCCGGCTCTCGAGCGTTGGCCAGGGCGCCGTCGAGGGCGGCCGCCCGGGCGCATGGAACGCGCCGCCTTCGCTGGGTCAGTCGGCCAACTACTTTTCCCAGCGCATCGCAGGCGTGAGTGTGTGCGATGCCGTGTCCGGGCGCTCTGGAGGCCAGCGCGCGCTGCTGACATCTCGCCTTCGCACCCTCGGCGCACCGCAGCATCTGGTCAGTTACCTGACGACGCTGTCGCAGAATCGCTCCAGGCAGAAGCGCAGCCTGGCAAAGGCGTACGCGCAGTGGATGGCGCTGGCCGAGGAGGCGTCGCAGCTCGGCAAGCGGATCGAGTCGGTGTCGAGGGTGAGCATCGCCGCGTGGGACCTGTCGCCGGTCGCCGGTGCGAGACGATGGAGCTGTCTGACACCCGCGTCTGCCTCTGGTCCTCCCCGCGCACAGCCGGAAGACTACATGCCGGACTCGCTGTTTGCCGGCGTCCAGCACGCGGCGCTCGACGTGACGCTGCAGGTCGTCCTCTCGGGCTTCGAGCTGGACCTCTACCGGCGCGACGAGTGGGCGGGCATCTACTTTGTGGCCTCGCGGATCTGCTCGGAACAGGCGCTGGTGTGCGAGGGAATCCGAACCGGCCTGCTGGACCGGCGCGCGACGCTACACAACGCACAGGCGGCCACGACGATCCACTACCTCGCTTCACAGGAGGAGATGGCGCGCGCTCTCGAGGCCGCTGCGGTCGGCACCGTCCTGGTACGTCGTCGGGCGCGGTCGATGATGGGTCCGCACGTAGACGCAGGGCTGTACGCTGACCTTGCGTGCCCCCGCCCCGTCCATCGACGATGCGCAGCTCCTGCACGCCCTCGAACCCAATCTGCAGCCTCGGCCGTGGCCGCTCTCGACGCGCACCGACGATCCGGCGCTGGCCAAACGCACCGCCGCCCTGGCCAAGGCTACATTCGCGGCCCGCCTCAAGTGGCTCGAGCTACCCAGCGCCAGGCAGTCTCGCCAGTCGATCGACGATCTGTGGGACGAGCTGTCGGCCTTCCAGGCAGGCGTCCGCTCCCTTTCCGTGAGTCGTGTTGCCTGCCATTCGCCGCGTGTGCCGTCGAACCTTGTAAACCTGACTGGATCCTCTGTCCAACTTGCATTGCTCGTTGCCGCCGCCGCCGTCGTCAGGCCCACGACTGCCTGGCCGAGGCGGAGGCCAACTGGCGGCGCGCCGTCGACGAGCTGCAGCTGTACCTCGCTCGGCCGCCGAGCCAGCTACGAACCCAGCTTTGCGCCGATCAGCATCGAGAAGTGGGTATCCTAACCCTGGCTCAGCATGCACGTCTGCCCGTCGTGGCACGGGAGCCGCCTCCGCCTCGGTCTCCGTGTCAAAGACGATCCTGACACGTCCTTCCACCTCTCTGGTCTCTTTCGCCCGCCCTCCCCGCTCCATATCCCAAGATCACACAAGCACTCCTCTGCACCTGTCAGCAAAACCTCGACCTCGCCAGCAGGCTAAAAGCAGGCGCCCCCCCCGGCAGCGACACCGGCGCCCGGTGCGAGCCCCGCTTCTCACAACACAGGTGGTTCCCCGTCCTCGTGCAGGCCGCGGCCGCCTGAGGCCGGACGTCAGACCCTCATGCAAGCCTGATTTGACTTATCAGTAGTAGAATAGACGATGCTTTCCAGCGCAAGATCCTTGCCCGTCATCTTCGCCCTCGCTCCAGCACGTCGATGCACTCGACCGGTGTCGCTGGACTTTCCCACCAAGGTTTGTGTAATTATCTTTTGAGGCTCCGAACAGCACCGGCGTCTGTCGTATAATGGTTATTATCTCTGCCTTCCATCATCGGCAGCAGCTATGTGTTAGCAGAGGACGCGAGTTCGATTCTCGCCGGACGCATCTTTTTTCCCTACCCAATGTTTTTTGGGTCAAATGGCAGGCGATGCGGGGTCGGGTGCGGGCTTGGCGTGCAGGGGCGCGGGTGTTGGTCTCTCGGCTGTGGATGAGGCAGCCGAATGGACGGGACGCGAACTTGGTTCTTTTCCTCCACCAACGACGGCGGCGGCGGCGGGCTGGGGTAGATGTTGCCATGGGCCTGCGACGACGTCAGGGCGTCGTGGCATCTGCCATCCCAATCAGAGGTCAGCTGAGGGCTGTGGGTTGTTGCTGCGCTGCCCGACGAGGGGATGGTCGGACGCCGCCTTGCTTGCCGTTTTGCCGCTGCAAGGTCGGCCGCCAATTCATGGGGCCGCTGCCCGCCTCCAGACGTTTGCCTGCCCGGCTGCCATCGACGCTGGGCGGTCACCCCTGCTGTCGACGCCGCCACCATCCTCCCATACCTTGATCAGTGCTTTCCGTCCTGCCTTGCGTCCAAACATCAAGGACGACGTCGTGCTGCCAAAGTACAGCAGGCTTCCACCTTTCACCCACCGCGACACGGCGCCTTGCCACTCCAGATCAGGTCGGTTCGGACGGGATCGGATCAGCATCGTCCTCAGTCCTACCTCGACGCTACCGGGCCGCTTCGACTCGCCCGCGCAAAGAAGCCAAGGATGTCGACGGGGCTCGCAGCAGCAGCAGCAGTGGCCCTATCACTCGCGTCCTCCCTCCCGCTCGCAAGGGGCGCCTCGACAGCGTGCGGGGCCGACTCGAAATGCCCAAAGGACAGCCCCTGCTGCTCGGCCGAGGGAACCTGCGGTCGAGGATCGATGCAGTGTGCAGGTAAGTCGCCGGTGGCCGGCCCCCAAGTCGAGGCTGGATGGAATGTGACCGTGACCATGGACGGCGGGTGGCTAATACCACAGCGAACCCACCCGTCTGGCCGTTCGACAGGCGGATGTCAGCCCCTGTTCAGCTACAGCCCTTCGTCGTGCCTTCCCAACCCCGTCTGCCAGTCGCAGTCGATGGCCATCAAGTCGAGCGACTACAACAACACTGACCTCTTTACGCCAATGTGAGTGGCCCCGTCGGATGCCTCTGCGCGACGGCTGATCCCGGCTGACCTCCTGTGATCGCCCTGCACGCCCTGCCCACCCACCGCCTGGCTCGCCAGCCTGGACTACAATGGCGACCCGACCCTTTCGCCCTTCACGCTCGACTCGGGCTCCCTCGGCGCCGGCCCGGAAGGCGTGCTGCTGGAGATGACCATCGAGCGGCAGGCCAAGATCTCGACGACGCGCTACTTTCTCTACGGCACCGTCACCGCCACGCTGCGGCACCAGGCGCGCCAGGGCCTGGTGGCGACCATGATCACCATGTCCGACATCAAAGACGAGATCGACTGGGAGTTTACCACGGCCAACTCGGGCGAGACGCTGACCAACTACTTCAAGATGGGCAACGCCGTCACCACCCAGGGCGCCACCATCTACCCGGACGGCGGCTTCGACGTGGCCGACTGGCACGAGTACGGCCTCGACTGGCAGGAGGATCGGCTGCGGTGGACCATCGACGGCCAGACGGTGCGCACCGTCACGAGGCAGCAGGCCGGGGACGCCTACCCCCGCTCGCCCTCGCGCGTGCAGTTCAGCATCTGGGCAGGCGGAAACAGCACAAACGCGCCCGGTGAGTGGTGCCCCCGGTCATCCTGGCGTGCGTGGCACAGTCCTCGCCCGTTGCTGACCACATGTCTGGATCCTCTTCTCCGGCAGGCACGATCGACTGGGCGGGCGGGCCGATCTCCTACGACACGGACGAATACAGAAAGAACGGCGTCTACTCGCAGGAGATCAAGAGCTTCTCCATCAGCTGCAACCCGTCCACCAACGGCGGATCCACCAACGCCACCTCTTGGGTCTACACGGGCTCGCAGTCGGACTCGACCAACGAGCCCGAGTACACCATCAGCACATCGCCGATCAAGCCCCTCTCGGAGCCGTCGCGCGACGGATATGCAGGCTATCCCGGCTACGACAGCAAGCCCTCTGCGGGCACCGGGCCAGGCACGAACCGGTGGGACGGCTCCGGCACGACGTCCAAGGCCAAGCCGGGCTCGTCGGACTCGTCGGGCGACGACGGCGTGACGACGCAGAACGCGCTCAAGTACGGCCTCCCCATCGCGGGCGCGCTGGTGGCGCTCATCGCCGTGTGGGCCCTCGTCACGGTCGTGTATCGACGGCGACACAAGGACAAGCTCTACGCCTCGGGCGTCACGGGCATCGCTGGCGGGCCGGGCATGGTCGACAAGCTGGCCTCGTCGCGCGGCCGCGCCGCCAGCGCCACGGGCCTGTTTGCCGTCACGTCTGCCACCGGCGCGGGGGTGGGCAGAAAGGGGAGCAAGTACATCCCGCTCCAGGACGTGGCGGATGCGGGGCTGCCCGATGGCACCACGAGGATCGGGACGGGCATCGCACCGGCCTCTGGACCGACGCCGGCGAGGTCGCTCATGTACCGCGGCTACTCGGACGATGGTTCGTCCAAGATGGAAGCAGGGGGAGGGTACGAGGATGCGGCGTGGAAGAGCACGGATTCGTTCCAGGATGATGCGGTGCGAGGGGCGTACGGCGCATGGCCAGACAGGCCCGCGCCCTATCAGCAGCAGCAGCAGCAGCCAACGGCGCCCCACCAGTACACGCCGCCACGGTATTACAACCAGGCGCCAGCTGCTGCACCACCACCACCGCCGCCACAGCAGCAGCAGCAGCAGCAACGTGGATGGACTCCGGCGGCAGCACAGCAGCGGGGGCCGTACACGTCGACCTCGCCGCAGCCCAGGCACTACGACACGCCCAACGTGGGCTACTATGCCACGCCGCAGATCCAGCAGAGGGCACAGTATCACGGCCAACCGACCTACCACCACCACCACCACCCTGCCCCGCAACAGCCCTACCCGGGGTACCCCTGATCCAGCCAGCACCTGCCGGCGCTGCTCCATCAGCCCCCCAATGACCTGTATACCAACATCACCACCGCCTCGACCCTCGCCTCTTTGGACGGACAACGACCTCGACCCGACCCGACCCGACCCGACCTGCTTCGCCTTCGTTCCGACCCCGCTGTATCCTTTGACCCGCACCGTTTCGCGACCTCCATCTTCCCTCGCAATGATCCCGACTCGACATGGAACCGACCTGCCCCTCGTCTTTCCTCTCTCCGAATGGCAACGGACAATGGCGCGCACCAGCCGGAGAATCGACGATTCTTGCCCTCGGGCAAGTCGATGCCGAGTGACTTGACGTACCGGCCGCACGGGCGAATGGCGGCCGAGACCAGGAGGGGACTGCTATGTTACAAGATGGAGTGCCCGGGCCTACAGTGGGCGAGAGAGCGCGGCTTTTGGTCGTGAGGGAGGGCCGCGCGCCGCCAGATCTGCCTGGTGGCGGGCCAAGGGGGCGCGGAGGTGGCGCAAAGAGAGGTGGTGTTGAGCCGCTTGCCCGGCGAGGGAGGACTGCGTACATACGGCCGGCGCGAGGGCAGAAGGGGATCCGGATCAGATCTAGTTGGACGCCTTCTTCTCCTCGTCCTCCCACTGGTCCTCGCCGTCGGCGGCCTCAGCCTCGGCCTCGGCCTCGGCGCCGACGGTGTCGACGGGCGCAGCCAGCTGCTCCTCGGTCTTCTCGTAGGTCGTCTCGCTCGACTCGGCGGGCGTGGGCTGCTCGGTCTCGACAGGGGTGGCCGACTCCTCGACGACCTTAGCCTCGGGCGCGGCGGCCTCGGCCGTCTCGACCGACGTGGTCTCGTCCGCCTCGGAGGAGGCGGCAGCGGCAGCCGGGGTGGCGGCCTGCTGGCTCGACGGCACAAAGACGCCGGTGTCGTTGAGGCTGTTGGCCGAGAGCGTGTCCCACTCCTGCGAAGACGTGGTGCCGCTGTCGGTGCCGTTGTTCTGCTGCGACTGCTGGTTGCTCGAAGAGGCGGCGGTCGACGAGGCAGGTGCGGATGGTGCCGTCTCATCCTTGGCGGCCGAGGTGGCATGCGCGCCCGAGTTGTCGTCGTCGTCGCCGTCGTCGGCCCCGCTGGCCTGCTTTGCCTTTTCGGCGGCGTGGACCTCGGCGGCGGCCGCCGAGGGGCCGTCCTCGTCGACGTCGTCGAGGTTCCCGACGCTCTGGCCTGCGAGCCCGGCTGCCGCCGAGGGACCGGCGCCATCCTCGCCGCCGCCCATGGCGATGTCCTTGCTGACGATCCTCATGATGCAGTCAAAGACCTCCTTGGGCACGGCCTTCTGGTAGATCATGATGAGCTCGACGGGCGCCGGGTAGGCCTTGAGCGCCTTGAAAAAGGCGATCGACGCATCGAGGTAGTGCTCGGGGCCCTGGGCAAACAGCTGCTCGCCGAGCGACACGTGCTGGAGGAAGTACTGCTCCTTTGCCTCGATGTCGGCGGGCAGCACGCCCGGCTGCCGGATCTCGTCGAGGAGCTGCTGGATGACGGCCTCCTCGGCCTTTGCGCGCCTCTCGGCCTCCTTCTTGGACGCCTTGGACGTCTTCTTCGAGTCCTTCTTGAGCGACTTGCGGAAGGTGGCGTCCGTCTGTCGCTTGTAGTCAAAGTAGATGGCGTACCCGAGCGCGCCCGCCGTGAGCAGCGAGAGCGACGTGATGACGACCTGCGAAGTCTTCATGGTGGAGTGGGGCAGGAGGAGGGGGGGAAAGAGAGGAAAGGGAGTCGAGTGCGGTGGGTGGTGGTGGTGGTGGTGGTGGTGGTCCGAAGAGTCGGCGAGCGGCGGTGCGGCGGGTGTGCGATGACGGCTGCCGGGATGTTCTGATCGAAGGCCGGGTACCGCCGCCCGCCTGCCTGCGGCTTGCCTGGCTTGGCTTGGCTTGGCCTCGTCCAGCTTCCGGCCTCTTCTCGGCGCCTCTGAAAACTTTTTCGCGGGTTGCGACTTGCGCGGCCTCGACGGCCTGCCCGCGCCTGGCAGGCCTGCCTGGCTTCGGAATTTGCCGCGCGAGTCAGCCCCCATCTCGCTGCCTCCGCCGGTTTCGCCCAGGGTCTCGAGCCAGGCTGCCCTACCTGCCTGCCAGCTGCCTCTCTGCCTGACATCGCATCATCACCGTGCAGGCAGGCTAGGGTCCCCACCCGCGTGTGGAGGGGCGCGGCCACCGCGGGCCGATGCGACCACATCCTGCTGGCCTGGCCTCGCGGGCTCACCAGGCCATCCAGCCAAACAAGGAAGGCGGAAGAGAGGGAGCACTTCGACACGCTACGGTGTCGACGCCTGCCACCATCGTGCCCGGCGAGCAGGACTGGCAGCGAGAGGCAAAGCCCATAAGCGACGATATGACGGCGGGCGGGGGATCCGACGGTGGTGGCAGGCCCGCCCGCCTGCCTGCCTCTGGCCTGCGGGGCTGCACGTTGCCGTGGGCGCGCTAAATTTCTGGGCTTGGCTCGCAACCTCGGCGGGCCGGCCCAAAAGTGCAGGCCTGCTAACTGTAGGCCCAGCAGAGAGGGGCTGGCCAGGCTGTCCCGAGCGTCACTCCTACGGCACTGGCCAGGATGGGGTGGGGCTCGCCTTCGCATCCTCCCTTTGCTTCCTGCCTCTTTTAGCTTCTCGTACACCATTCACCACCATCCACGTCGCCCGACGCCTTGCCGCACCGTCCCGTCGCTCCCTCGACATTCTCGAAAGGCAGCAGCAGAAAAGAGCGGGACGACGGCTCAAAGGCCGATCGCGACCCAGACCTCGGCGGCGCCCAACCGTCATCGGCTTCGACCCGGGCGGTGCACCTCGGCTCCGTCTCTGATCCAGCACCTTCAGCACCGCTCGCCGCCTCGCCGAGCCTCGTTGCACGACGCCGCCGCCATGTCGGCTGTTCCGGCCACCGTGTATGACCCTGCGTTTGCTTCGGCGGGCGTCTCGCTGGCGCCGCTGGCCGGTGCCGATGGCCTGTCGTCGACCGCAGCGGCCAGCAAGGCGGCGCGCGCAGCCATACCCAACCTCGTCGACGATGCCGATCCAATGGCCCTGACGCCCCTGCGCGCCCACTACCTCAAAAAGACGCTCATCAAGCTGCAGATGGAACGCGAGGTTGCCGAACTCAGCTCCAAAGGTGAGCTGGCCCCTGCGCCCCCGTATCGGCTCGTCCCGGATGGCCTACTGACGCTGCGGCTGCGGCTGTCGTCTGCTCCCATCCCCTTGCTTTTCTCGCCTGCTCGCCTGGGACCCCTCTCTGGCCCCCTCATCGCCCCCGCACAGATGCGCTGTCGACGTTTGGACCGCCGTTCCGGCCGTCGGCGAGGGCGCGCGACACGGACCTGCCGCTGCTGCGCTACCTCTTCCAGCACTTTGTCCTCACCTTTCCCTTTCTGCGCTCGGCCCCGCCCAACTTTTTCGCAGACAAGGTGCAGGTGTTTGTCGACCGCTTCCTCGAGAAAAACATCAGTGGCACAGACGACCGCACAGAGTCGACCAAGCGCAGGCGGCTCGGATCCAAGCTGGAAAAGTACTTTGTCCTCCTTATGGGCTCGGCCATCAAGGTCAAGGGCTGCGGCGAAGAGGTCGTCAAGATCGGCCCGCAGGACCGGCAGAAGATGAGCGCCCTCGAGAGCCGGCGCCGCGCCGCCCTCGGCAGGGCAGCCGTCCCGCCCGCCATCGCCACCGCCACGGGCTCCAGCCGCCCCGCCTCGGTCCACTCCAACTCGAGCGCGAGCAGCAGCGTCGACTTTGACATCAACGTCGTCTCGGTACGCACCGTCACCACAAAGGGCAGGCTGCGCAGCAGGGCGCACGAGGAGTTTATCATCCGCACGCGCCAGGGCCTCAACGTAGCGCCCATCTACGTATCCCGCCGCTACGGCGACTTTGCAAGGCTGGCCGAAACGCTCAAGGTCGAGTTCCCAGAAGAGGAGGTCCGCCCGCCGCCGCCCAAGGACCGCACCACGACCGACGTCACCGACGTCTACCGCCCACCGCCGCCGCCGCCTCCGCCAAAGGACGAGGGCACCTCGTCCTACTGGGGCCTGCGGATGCCCTCGCTGGGCTACGGCTACGGGCAGGGCGCCGCGCCTTCGCCTGCTCCGTCCTCGCGGGCCGAAACCTCCGAGGCCAAGGGACGCGGTGCCTCGGCCGGTGCTACGGGGACGCTGGCGCGCGAAAAGAACCGGCTCACTCTGCGGGCGTACCTGCGCAGCCTGCTCGCCATCCCGCCGGTGGCCGACAGCGCCGTCTTCATGGACTTTCTCACCGAGCGGCCCATCACCCTCACGGCGGCAGAGGAGGAGGACGTGGCGGTGCGAGAGGGGCTCGACCACGTGCGCGAGGAGGAGCACCGCCGCTTCGCCGAAGAGTCGAGCCGGAGGGTCCAGGAGCTGCAGCAGCACCTCGCCGCCTTCAAGGCCGACCTGATCCAAAAGGACGGTCTGACGCGCATCTTTGCCACGATCAAGTCGACGCCCCGGGTCGAGGACCTGCCGGAGAAGTACAAGGCGCTGATGAAGTGGGCCCGCATCAGCCTCGCCTCGTCGCTCTTCAACATCTTTATGGGCAGCGACACGTCGTCCGAGATCTTTGGCCAGCTGAAGCGCATGCACGGCCTGATGCCCTACTTTATGCTGCGCGGCATCCTGCGGATATCCAACCCGGTGGCCATGATCCGCGGCGTGCTCGACCTCTTTCTGGCGCAGCCGTTTGGCCAGCGCAGCCTCCTCCAGCGCATGTTTTCCAGCTCGCTCCAGGACGAGGTCAAGGAGATCACCGAGGTGTGCCAGGCCATTTCGGAAAAGGTCGACGACGAGGTGCTGTGCGAAAAGGTGCGCAGCTTTGTCTACGCCTCGCCCGAGATCCAGGACGTCTACCGCCGCGACGCCCAAGACGAGAGGCTCGACCTGCTCACGTGCATCCTGCGGTCGCCCGAGGCGCCGGCGCTCAACCGCGCCCAGATCCACCGCGTCGTCAAGGCGAGCCAGGCGTACGAGGTGTACAAGGAGTACCGCCGCGGGCTCAAGAACCCGGAGCTCGACGACGAGGGCCCCCAGGACGACGACGCCTGGCTCTACGAGGACCTCCACGTGCTCATGAAGATGCTCACGCGCCAGCGCGACAAGGAGCAGATGATCTCGCTCATCTTTGAAGGCGTCACCGCCGAGCTGCTCAAGGACATGGTCACCATCTTCTACTCGCCCCTCGCACAGGTCTACAAGCTGGCCAACATCGCCGACAGCCTCAGCGACCTGCAGGCCTTCATCAACGACCTCATCAAGACGGTCGAGTCGAGCGAGGAGCTGAGCTACACCGACCCGCAGAAGACGGTGCAGGTCTTCATCGACCTCGTCGAGCGCCACGAGGGCCGGTTCTACAACTTTGTCCACCAGGTCCACTCCAAGGGCAGCGGCCTCTTCGACGGCCTGATGCACTGGATCGAGCTCTTCATCAACTTTGTCCGCGGCGACGACCAGCCGGCGACCGGCGGCGAGGGCGAGGGCGATGGCGCCGTCACCCTGGCACCGGACGGCCGGCGTGCGAAGCCCTACACGGGCGGGGGCATCGGCGCCGTCGACCTCGAGATCTGCCTGCCTGCGGGCGGCGAGGAGCGACGACGGGCGCTCGAGGAGATCGACTCGCTCGTCCTGCACGCCTACCGCCTCAAGTTCCTGCGCGAGGTCAAGCTGCGGCGCAAGCTGGCCGATCGCGAGGTGGCGGGCGCGGCCAACAAGCTCATCAAGGCCGACGACCGGCGCGTCCACGACGGCCTGCCGCAGGACGACGACCAGGCGTTTGTCAGCGCCATGATCGACAACCTCGGCGTCGGCGACATGTTTAGCGGCGAGGTGGCCGATGTCGAGGCCGACGACGACGATGATGAGGAGACGACCGACGAAGACGAAGACGACAGCGAGGAGGACGTCCTCGCCGCCGGCGTGGAAGGCGGCGACGCGGCGACTGGGGGGAGGAAGAAGACCAAGTCGGCGTACAGCGAGAGCGACACCGAGACCGAGGACGAGGGCGAGGGCGGGGTCGCCGCAGACGGCGCCGACGACGAGGCTGCGGCGCCCTCGACAGCCGCGGCGGGCTCGGCCAAGTGGATGCCCTCCATGAGCCGCCAGGCCACGCTGACCCCGGCGGGCATGCGCGCCGCGACGCCGACGGGCGAAAAGACGCTCCCAGCACTGCCCGGATCTGGCGCGCCGGGCGCAGCAGCCGGGCCCAAAGTGCGAAAGGGCAAGCTGGGCGCTCCCCAGGCGCCCGAGTTGAGAGTGATACCCGAGATGGTGCCCCTCTTTGTGGAAATCGTAGGTGTCCATACCCGTGCCCCTGCTGCGGCTCTCGATGTCGGCGTCGGTCCGGATGCTGACCACGAGGGGTGCTCTTATCTTGTCCTCGCCGGCTTCTTATCCAGGTGCGACCCCTTCTTCGGCCGGCACGGACGGCGAGTGCATCGAGCCATACGAGCGGAACCGACCCCTTCCGCGGCGGTGGTGCGCACACCTCGGCCGGCGCACCGCCATCGAGGATCCAGACGGATCGGCTGGGCCAAGGTATCCAGGACATGGGCCTGGTCCAGAGTCCATCGTCGATGCACAACGATGCGGCTAGAGGTCGGCAGCCGCCGCAGCCGCAGCAGCAGAACGGCGCCTCGGGCGTGCCTGGCGAATACAGGTGGTAGCCAGGCCGACCCCCCGTCGTTGCGCCGCCGATCGATGCCGATCTTGGCGCCAGATTCCCCCTCGCGCGTCCATCTCTCCTCATATTTGCACTTACGCACTCGCCCCCGTCTCCGCTTTCGTGCTTCCCCTGTCGTTCTGAGTCTGGCATCGCAAGTCGTATCTCGTCGCGTTGAATCCGCAGTATCCATGCATCCGGTCTCTGCGAGCGTGAGATGACGCCTCACTTTTTTCGGAAGAGGAAGAGGTCCGTCTTGTAGGGCTGCTCGGCAGCAGACGGTTACGGCCACAGCCACGGCCAGGGCAAGGAAAGGGGACGGGTCAGCGACGCGAGTCGTAATACCGCCGACGGCCAGGCAGACACTCACGTATTCCCACACGCCCTGGTCCTTGTCGATCCAACGCCTTCCGAGCTCCTCGTCGGAGAGGGACCGGAAGAGGTTCTCGACCTGCTCGTCGAGCTGCGTCTGCTCAGAGGCGGACAGCACCGAGATGTAGGATTTCGACTTCATCCGATCTGTGGCACCGTGGGCGAAACGGATGGTGGACGAGGGAAAGCCAGCCGCGGTCAAGCCATCAACATCGCAACCTGACGACGGCCTGCCGGCCGACAGGGCGAGCTACGCACCTTTGACACCCTCGAGCGTCGTCGGCAGCGCCCGGCTAAAGTGCCGAGGTGCGTCGGCCGTGAAAAAGTCGCCGTACGACGCCGTCGTGTACATCGAGTGCCAGTAGTTGTGGCGGTCTGCCGGTGCGCGAGGTTCAAAGCGCGTGCGAGGTCAGTTGGCGGCGCGACGAGCGTCCAGGGGGTCAGGGGCAAGTCGACGAGGACGTACATTGCGGCGTGCCGTCCTCGTGCATCTCGTAGATGTCTCGCAGCTTGGCCACCCACGGCGCTGTCGAGGATCGATCAGCGTTCAGCATGGCCGGTTGTCAGCGTCGTTTGTCCCTGCTGCAGTGAGAGGGCCGAGAGTGCTGCCGCGACGTACCTGCCTCCCTGTCCTCGAGGTTCCAGATGAGAGCGAGGATGCCGCCCTTTCTCAGCGTCCCCGCCGCCTTTGTGAGCGCGAGGTCAAAGTCGCTGCACCAGTGAAAGGCCTGGGCGATGACGACGAGGTCCCTCTCGGTGCCAGCATCGAACTCCTCAAAGGTTCCCTCGTCGACCGTGACCTCTGCATTGGGAGCGAGCTGCCCTTTGCGCTTCAGCTCGCCCACCAGCCCGGTCTCGAGCGACGAGATGTTCTTTTCGAACGCGCTGCGCATGCCCGCCGACGGCTCGATGGCTTGGAACGAGGCGATGCCGACGGGGGGCGTGCCGTCGCTCGAGGGCGTCGTGGCCTGCGAGAGGAGCATCCGGCTCGCGATGCCCGTCCCTGCCCCGAGCTCGACGAGGCGGAGCGGTGCGCCCGTCGCCGGCTGCGATTCGCGCAGGATCGTCGTGATGGCCTCGATCGGATCTGAGCAGCGGGGCGGGGACAAAGTGTCACGCGCCGACGCCACAGTCAGCGAGGCTGGTGCCGTCGAGGACCACGAGCGCTGCCCACTCACAGGTTGGGCGGGCGCGGTCGTAGAGGCCGCTGCCACCGCCGGCGTCGAAGCCCGAGCGCGCCACGCCATGCATCTTGAAGCCGTTTGCTACAGCCTCGGTGCTCATCTTTGCGAAGCGGAGTGGAGTGGCCCGGACGGTGGTGGCTGCGACTGCTGTACGTGGTAGAGCCCTTGTCAACATGTGGATATCGCACGGGGACGATGGAGAACAGGCGACGACGGCAGGGACGAGAAGGTGTCTGGTATATGTAGGGCCAAAGCGGGTCGTTGAGCGAGGGTGTCTTGGCCGTGGAAGGAAGCAGCGTGCGATCCTGGCGGCGGTACGAGAGGGCGAGAGGCAAGGCGTTGGGACGGGGACGGGGTGGGGGATTGGGTTGGCCCTGCCTCCCCAACGCCGGCGCCGTCCCGCACTTTTGGAAGGCGGCCGTGCGTCTGGCGGGCACCAACTAGCTCTACTTTGGCGTGGGATGGGGGACCCTGTTGGCCTGGCCTGGCCGGACCGAGCGGCATAGAAGCCGAACAGCAGCGGCTTCCATCGGGGCACCCGAAACGCCTCGCCTGCTGGCCTGCTGGCCTGCTGGCCTGCCCCACGCGACCACCACAGGACTAGCAGGTGCTCCCGCAAAGCAGGCAGCAGGTCTGCCCTGGCTGGAGCGAGTCATGGCGCAGCCACCTGCCGTCTCTGGCCGCACAGAAGAGATGCACCAGACGGGGCTGAGCCGCTTTGACCGGCGTTCTGGTCCCGCGGGCCCAGCATGGCAGGAGCACGGAAGCGGTGTCGTCCCGATGGAGGGCTGTTCGGTCAGCCCCCCGATGTGCCGAACCCGCCGCCGCCGCCGCCGTGGTTAGCGTGGAAAAGGCTGGAAGCCGGGGGGGCGCACGGTGCAGCCCGCAGCCCAAGCCAGGCCAGGCCAGCCCAGCCAAGCTCCACATCATCATCACCTCGGCCCCTCCGCAGGCAGGCAGGCGGGCCAAGGGCCAGGCCTGGGCGCGCCCCCGCGCACGAGTGAGGTCAGACCGGCTGGGCGGAGTGCATTCGCTATCGGCAGCCAGCCTCCATCCTCTTTGATCCGCCGTCCCGCCGTCCCACCACCACGCCTTCCTCCCCGCCCATCGACCAAAGCATTCACCTGCCTTTTGTCGCAGTCACTCCCATCAACACCTATCACCCCGGTCGCGAGCACACCTAGTCCGCCCCACCACCACCGCCACCGCCACCGCCACCGCCACCGCCACCGCCACCGCCGCCCACCATGGCCGACGCAAGCGACGCCGCGGCCGACATCAGCCTCAATGTCAAGGGCCCCTCGGAGCTCAAGCTGAGCCTCACCATCCCCGCCGACCACACCGTGCGCCAGCTCAAGGAAAAGATTGAAAAGGAAAAGCCCGACTTCCCCGCAGACGCCCAGCGCCTCATCTACGCCGGCAAGGTGCTCAAGGACGAGGAGCCCCTCGCCACCTACAAGGTCAAGCCGGGCAACACCATCCACATGGTCCGATCCGCATCACGCTCCGCTCCCGTCACGGGAAACCCGCAGAACAACGCGCCCCCCTCTACCGCCAACGCCAACACCTCGTCGTCGACCGGCGCCGCCTCGGCCAACAGCGCCCAGGCGCAGGGCGTCCCCGCCAACTTTGCCGCCGGCCAGAACTTTACCAACAACCCGCTCTCGGCCCTCAACCGCGCCGACCTCGCAGGACCGCACATGGCGCGCCTGCTCAACGAGAGCGGCGGCGCATTCGGCCAGATGGGCCTCAACCCGCGCGACCCCAACATGATGCTCGGCATGATGCAGAACCCCGAGGTGCAGCGGCAGATGCGCGACATGATGAGCCGCCCCGAGTTCGTCGACCAGATGATCGCCCTCAACCCTCAACTTCAGGCCATGGCACCCCAGATGCGCGAGATGATGCGCTCCGAGCAGTTCCGCGAGATGATCACCAACCCGGAGTCGATGCAGAGGATGGCGCAGATGTCGCAGATGTTTGGCGGCGGCG